ACTGGTCCACTCCGAAGTAATAAAGATTCTCACTTTGTCACAGACTCATTTAAAACAGTCATAGGCCTCTTTTGTCACAACCCTATAGCAGGGACTCTCCCACTATTTAACTTGTGGGTTGTGAAGTCTGGCTGGAAAACAAACCATATATTGACTCAAAACACCTTGAATGCACATTGGTTTTGTCAGACCCTATAGCTGTTGATTGATCGGATAAAGAGTAAATGCCTTGCCTAATGGCAAGCCTCTCATTGTCTCTCTGTGGTGGTCCTTCAGCCCTCTCCATCCCTCTCTACAAAACACCAGCTATCATCACAAAGATATAAACAAAAAGACAACTGTGTGTGAAGGGAGGGACACAAACAGAATTCCATTTCTCAGTGTTAAGAAGGTAATGATGGGGCGAAATAGAAAGACATAACCCTCACTCTGTCTTTATTTCTATGTCTGCTTTCCTTGCAAGAGCTGTTTTTGAGATTACCAGCTCACTGTGTGTGTGTGTGTGTGTGTGTGTGTGTGTTTTGTGTGTCTACGTGTGCATCCATCCCTCTCAGCCCTCTGCTATTACCACTAACTACTCCAGGCCACAGTTAGTTCAGGTATTGATTTTTCTTCTTGTTTGTTCTGTCTTTCTGTCCCCTCAAAAACACTCCCTGGAGAGGGTTTGTGAGTGTGTGTGAGTGTTTTTGCCTTCTTACATTGGTCTTTGTGGGGAATTATTTCAGCTTTAGAGTGGCTGAACAATTTACTTAAATTGTTTTTCCCTTACATCCACTTTGGGTGGTAAAGAAAAGTTAATGGTGAGTTCATTTATGTCAGTGAGGGTCCTGACAAGTATAGACATGTTTGTGTGTTTGTTAGGGTATAGGTTAAAAGAAGGGACAGAAAAGACTGATGATACTGACTTACCCACTCACTCGCTTTATTTGGACCCTCAAATGAATCAGACACAACCCTCAACAATTCAAATTATCCCGACCGTCAAGAGAAAACAAATTTCAAAAATGGTTTTGTGCTATTAAAAATTAACATCACTTCAGGCCCTCGTGGTTACAGACGCACTGTTTTAGATTGACCACCAGGTGTCACCAAATCGCAAAGAGACGCTTCTTTCATTCATTATTTAAATAGGTTGATAGTACATTTCCTTTCGGCTGTGGCTCAGTGGTAGAGTCGGTCGTCTCTCAACAAGGTTGGGGGGTTCAACTCCCAGCTCCTGAAATCATATACGATGTGTCCTTGGGCAAGACACTTAACCTCATGTTGCTCCAGCTGCTTTTTTGGCTGCCTGTGAATGTGAGTAAATGGGATTAGTTAATACTGAAAGACACTTTATATAGCAGCCTCAGACATCAATTTGTGAATGGGTGTGAATGGGCAGGTGTGACCTGCAGTGTAAAAAAGCTCTATACAAGCGCAAGTCCATTTACCATTTACACTTTCTTTCTTTAGTTCCATTATTTTAATTTTCAGACAGTGACTATCTGGATGTGTTTTTTTTATTTGCCCTTGACGTGAAATTCACTACAAAATAGAATTCCTTGTGGCTGCACAATTATGCAAAATAAGTGTATAAAACCCATATATAGTTAACCACTTTATATTTTCTTTAGAAATCTGCCAGTGTACTGTATATCTTATTTGGAAAAATTCACAGATTTATTTTCAATAATCGTTCACTTTCTGCTGTGTCGTCCTTTTCTACAATTTTGTGCACTGTTCTTCTTCTCCTTCTTCGTAATCGGCGGTAAAACATTCTGAGGTATACTTTCTTAACTACTGCACTCAGGTCTTTTGTTATAGCCTAAGTATATCAGATTTTATTAATAACTATTATTTACCAGAGAAGGTATCTCTTTTTATTTTGTGAGGAATAATGATGCAATCCTCAAAAAAACTGGTAGAGGAAAAATAATAATAAAATAAAATACATGAATCCATGCACTGGAATGGTAAATTCGTTTTTTCTTGTTATTTATATACCTTATTTAAATTATGTATTTTATTGCAATCTTGCAGTCATCTTCATGATGCCAGTGAATGCTCTCAGGGATGGAGCATGGAAATGTTGTGTGTGTTTTGTCAGATTCAACACTGTGGTTTAACACTTCACCAACAGCTGGATGTTCACTTTGAAGGTCGTTGTTGTTGTTGATATGGAATCAATCTTCATACTGTCATTTAAAACTTGAATGATTAAATTTCCTAATTTTTGAGACACTTTTTTTTTTTTTTTTTTTTAACCTTTTTTATAGTTTCCACATTAAGGTTAACTAGTTGCCTGGTTTTGTGTTTGTCAAAATTGACCTTCATGTGAAATACAGCTTTCATTTTATTTTGGTTTTTGTTCAAGGTGTCATAGTTAGAAAAAGGGGAAGTCCGATTTTTCTAGGTCAGGGACATTTTCTAGGATGTCATAGTCAATTGGAGGACTGGGGAGCAGTAGGCATGACTTTACTGTGGCTGATATTTGCCAGAAAGGGGATCTAGTGTCTAAAGCTATTTTTATTTTGTCAAAACACTGCAGGTTATGATAAAGAAGGAAACATTTCAGGAGACTACAATTCATTAGTCTAAGAGGCATAACTTTGTGAAGGCTGACAAACAGATATCAATAGACCAGAGGAACTGATGTGTCTGAAAGATGAGGCTTGATTAGAGCACAAGAGGATACAAACAGTTTCAAGTCAATGTTTTATATTGATTTGAAAAGGAGCTTGGGAGCAACAGAGGCCAGGCTCTGTGCATCTGGTCTTACAGGAAGAAGCCAATGGATTTTGAATAGACCAACAGCAGATGACGAAAGGAAAGCAACGGATGTGGCAGAGAAGGGTGTGAGAGGTTTGAGATCAAAATTAGTTTCTACTAATGTTGAAATCAGGAGCAGTTATGGTCAGCAGAGGTGAGTTTTTTTAATGCCATTATGTCATCCCATGGTAAACTTGTTTTTTGTCTTATTTTGTTATTACTATACCTTACTGTTATTAACAATCTGATGTACTGTAGAGTCACACCTGAACACTGATAAGCAGTGTTTTTGATTCAGACATTGACTGTTAAGAGGATGCTTGAGCAGAAATGCAAACATGGGACTAACATGCAAATTTAGACTACAGCGTTTGGATTTACACGTCAGGGATATGTATCAGTACTATTTAATTTATAAAAAATGTCCCTATAATAAATCTAATTGATTATGAGGATGGAGTTTAATAATGGAGTTTAATGAAGTAACAGATGTAAAGGACAAGGAAGAAACTCGTGCATGACGCCATCTGTGTTCGTGTGTCAGGAAGACAACTGTAATGACAAAAGTTATCCAGACCGTGGCAGCAGAGGTCAACATAAAAATGGTGAAAACGTTGCGATATTTCACAGCAAATATCTTTACCTTAAATGTTGTGATTCATGCCCTCTTCAAATAAACCCTTGTACCCAACAGGATCATACATCTAATATTTGATATTGTTTTTCATTGCAGGGTAATCTTATACAAATAGTGTCACCTTCAGTGACATAAAGCTCATGCTCTTTAATATGAATCTATAATATCTAAAATTAGACTTCAAAATTACATACTCAAATATTTGTGGTATATAGCATGATGATTCCTTTAAGAACAGGGATAAAGAAAAAGTGTGTATAGACTATAAAATGCTATAAAATGTTTTGGTAGGTTGCGTAGCCTACTCATAGCCTAGATAATAATAATAATGAGTTGAAAGAAAAAATAGAGAGAGGTAGCCTATATAGGCTGTGAGGGATGTAGTATAAAATGCTTAATTTGACGTTTTTAGAAGATAAATAGCCTATAGGCCTGGCACCAAACACAGATTTCAACTAGACCTATCGATAAAATGACATGAGAGCTCAACTGTGAAGGAACCAATGTGGTTAGAGTAGGAGTTAAGCCAAAATAATTGATTTTGAGTACAGTTATTTGCATGTATGTTATGTATAGTGCAGTATTTGTGGTCGATTATTAATTCAGAGTGTTTGTTAAGTGTAATTTTTGTAGTAACTTCAGTCTCCTCTGGAGGGCGGTGAAGGGTCGTGAATATTCTGTGTTGCATGTAATAGCAGCCGAAGAAGAAGCTTTAACGTCAGTGGAGGGAACTTTGACAACACATTGGTGTAAACATTGGTGTAAACATTGGTGTAAATATCTGTAATTTCACACCGTTTTGAGTTTACGTAGTCGTCGTTCTGTGGATGTTGTTCAAATATCGGACTTTTTCCACTGAATTTTAAGGAAAAACGAAAGGTTTGTGTCACACGTCTGTTGCTATCAAGTTTAAACGACAGGTTTCAGATGACGTAACAACTGTGAATACAACAAACTTCAGGCTTGTCTAAGTGTTTCTTTGCTTATTCAAAACGTAACTTGTGCCTTTAGCCTTGGTTTGTCGTTGGTTTGCTGTAGAGAAATGAGTTGTGATAATAACATACACAGTTATAGTTGAGTCATACTTTGCTCATGTAGATGATTTATGTGCCGATTTGTCAGGTGGTTCAAGATTGTTTAAAGGCTCTCTACAAAGAGTTCATTCAATCTAGTCATTCCGTTTTAGTACATTTAACTATCTGTTTTTGATGGAGTTAGTTTCATCAATAAAAGTAGAAGAGAGTATTTCCTCTTAACTTTGCTGTATCCCTCTCAACTTCTCACTCTTTTTGTACTTTGTCTTAGGAAAGCTATGAGTGGAGAGGAGTCTGGGAGAGGAGGAGGAGGGAGAGGAGGAGAGGAGGAGCAGGAGGGAGAGGAGGAGGAGGAGGAGGAGGAGGGAGAGGAGGAGGAGGAGCAGGAGGGAGAGGAGGGGAGCAGGAGGGAGGAGGGAGAGGAGGAGGAGGAGGAGGAGCAGGAGGGAGAGGAGGAGGAGGGGGTGGTGGTGGTGGATGGAGGAGGTGGTGGATGGAGAGGGGGGAGGGGAGGATGGAGAGGAGGAGGGGGTGGTGGATGGAGGGGAGGAGGAGGATGGGGGAATAGACCGTGGAGGGGAAGAGGAGGAGAAGCAGGGAGAGGCTCGGGGGGAGCTTCAGGAGGAGCATCAGGAAACCATCAGAGAGGTGAGTTTCACTCTGTTTCTATCTATCCTGTGATTAAATGTAAAGGATTTAAGCGTATTACATTCTCGTTTAAAAACAAAAACGCTTCAAAGAAAAGTATCTCCTCTCAAAAACATTGAATTTTAAACAAACTTTTAAACATTACTGACAGTGTCTAATGTTCTTGCAACATATCACACGAAATACAAATAAAAAAAGGTAAATTTACATCATACATCATTTGAATAATTTGTCATGCTACTGTCTCCTCAGTCCCTTTACAGACAACTCTTGATAGATTGTGTCCGTACAAAGGATGGATGCTGTACTTCACAGAAGGTACTCGTGTGCTGATGGAACTGCACATGGTCAAAAATATGGTTTTGCCCGTGATTTTTAGGGTATACCGTAACAATTTTTATTTCCCACAGGCTTCATCAAGAGCTCACCTAGTGTGGAAAAGATCAAAGTGTTTGAGAAATATTTCACTTCCAGGATTCAGCTGTATGACAAGGTTGGCGAGATTGTCTTCTTGTAGATCTCTGATCTATAACGTTAGGTTTTTCATCTTTTGATGTGGTGTGTGTTTATCTTCTTGTGTTTGTGTGTAGGATGAGATTGAGCGTCAGGGAAGTGTTCTGGTGGATTATGCAGACCTGACTGGAGACAAAATGGTGCGTCAAGCGATCCCTGATTTGACCACAGAGCTGAAGGAACAGCCAGAGGTGATGCTCAACTGTTTGGGAGTGGCAGTTCATCAGGTACACACACTCAAAATGAAGCTGTCATGTACAAAGAGGGATGTACCATATTTTTCATTCAGTATCGGTGTTGCAACTTGTACATGGATATAGACATATAGGCAGCGCACAGCACTACTTACTGTGTAGGCTTCATGTTTGAAGAGACAGGGCACAACTATTATAAACTACTCAAAAGCATTACATGAATATCTAACGTGATGAATACGATGTGATTTATAGCATGTTTTTCTTAAATCAAAAAAAGTACTCTGAAGAGGCAAAGAAAGTATCTGCTCAACTGAAGATGAAATACCAGAATGCATTTATGTGTGTGTCTGTTTCAGGTGTTGACTTTAGATTTAGTGAAACAGGCTGCTGAGCTGCAAGGGGAAGAACTTCCTGACGCTACCCCAATCATCAACATCCCTCACATCAGTGCAAGGTAAAGTGCACAGCTAAGCACAGCATATACAGCAGCCTGGAGTGAATGGAGCTGACTGTTTTTGTGTGAATCTTTCACAGGCTGTTTAACTATGAACCACTGACTCCTTTGAGGATGTTGCGAGCAAGCGTGTTTGGACGGCTGGTGTGTGTAAGGGGAACAGTGGTCAGAGTGAGCAACATCAGACCTCTGTGTACCAGGATGGCCTTCAGGTGCCTGGGCTGCTCAAACACACTGTCTCTGCCGCTGCAGCATGGGAAATATGCTACACCTACCAAGGTATTTTTGGTCTGCAAAACCGATCAACGTCAAGGGGGGGGATGCACGGTGGCAACGTTAAATGAACTTGGCGTTAATTGGGGTTGTTAATGTATTTAACAAAGTATTAAGTAAGTATTTCCTTCAACAGGTAAACACAGGGCCATCATCTCCGGGGAGGTTTACATAATATAACATTCTGAATGTTAAACAACAGGCTATTATGATTTTTTAAACTTCGATCATTTAAAACATTATCAAAAAACGACTTAATGTTTTAACAGTTAGCAAGTTTTTGAAATCACACCACTACAAGGTATGCCCTCAAACTTCAACAACTTCAAACAAGCTTTTCTGTTCTGTTCTGTTGCCACACGTTAGTATCCACAAGCAACACAGCTTTTGTTACATTTTCTTTAAAGGCAGGGTTGGTAATTTTCAAAAACTAGCATGATGATAGCATGGAAATTACCAACCCTGCCTTTAACGGTACACACAAAGCCCCTTTAATAGCATAACTTTGATCTACAGTTTACCATTAAGTGTTTGCATGTATACATGTCTTGTATTACTAGTGTATCCAGTCTGAGTGTCGCAGTCGTTCCTTCGTCCCCTGCAGGAGTTCGCCTCTCACTCACACTGTAGACTGGCAGATTATCAAGTAAGTGTTTCAGGTATCTTTATATCCATATGCACTTTCAGCTGTGAAAAACTGTGATGAGGTTCAATTCTTCTCACTAATGAGGGTTGGGGCCATTTAAATGAAAACTAACGGGTTAAATATATTTATCAGAATGTTGATTTGATAACTCTCTGCCTGTGACAGTTCTATTTGTTTGTATCATGTTGGCTTACATTTTGGCTTGCGGATATTTTTAAACTCCAAAGTGTTGAAAAAGACGTTTATAACAAGTAGAGCCATCACTAGTTCATTGTGCAGAGTAGCTCTGACTTCATTGTTAACAATGCTTTATCCCGTTTTTGCTGCAGGCATTTTATAAAGATTTACAGGAAGACTAAATGATTCACTTTAAAAAATCATCTTCTGTTTCAGGTTGTTTTAGCAATGAGATATTAAGTCATTTTTGTCACTATAGTTCCTCCTCCTACCTCAGTTTTGTATAACTACATGACATGAACTTTATAAGTATGAAATCATTTGTGGAATTATTGGTTAACTTATTACTGATGGCCTAAAAAAACATGTATTTGCCAGTTATCTGTATCAGCTGAAAAACAATTAAAATGAAAATTTCATCGGTTACAATCTTTTCTCATGAAAAATGGTGAGAAAGGGAATGAATGTGAAACATAGAGAAAAGTTGATTAGACTCATGTAAACTCTGTTCCTGCTTTATGAATGCAGCATAATGCATCTTATCATCATGCAAAGGTTGAAAAAAACTTTTCTTCACTAGAAAGACTGCCCAGTTCAGCCTTTCGCCTACCTTGGTCCCCATTGATATGCTTAAGCTAGGATATGATAATTATTTTTTGTGCCCACTTCAGGGTGCAGGAGCTAATGGGGGGTGAGCAAAGGGAGACTGGACGGATCCCACGCACTGTGGAGTGTCACCTGAACTCCGACCTCTGTGACAGCTGCGTTCCTGGAGACACAGTTACAGTGACCGGGATAGTCCGAGTTACCAACGATGGTACACACTGAAACACACACACACACTGCCCAGGGAAGGGGGGAGTTAGTTTGGAGAAAACGTTATCTTTTTTACTGGTAGTTGTGTAATTTAAGAATCTACTAGCTACATCCAGTATACTTCTGACTGACACTACATGTATGCAGGTACTACTCGGGGGAACAAGGATCAGTGTATGTTCCTCCTCTACCTTGAAGCCACGTCAGTCAGCAATTCTAAAGGTAATGAAAAGTGTGTAATTTGTAGAATTTGAACGTATTATATGAAGCAGTTCTATTTATATTTAACATAATATATGACCTTAATCTGAAGGTCAGCAGACCAAGTCAGGTCAGAGGTCAGAAGGGTCACAAGAGGATTGTTCGGGAAGGGAGGAGTTCAGTCTGAAGGAGCTGTATGCCATCCAGGAGATCCAGTCACAGCCTGGCCTGCTGAGACTCATAGTACAGTAAGAGATGTACAACCTACAATATAATATGTCTACTGTTTAGAAAAGTTAAAGCATCCTGTTTGTTTGGTTAAAGCATAATTTATCATTTTGTGGGTTGTACTACTTATCTAGAATACAACTGGATCTTCTATAAAAGATGTTACACTACTTTCATCAGTCCAGGGAAAGTGGTTTTCACTATAATAATGTCGAGGTTCGCCTGGAAATTATCCCTGCCAACATAATTCGACATTTTGATGCAGGCAACAAATTGGCTTGACAACACCTTAGATGAACATTGAACATCTGAACATTTCTTTTCAGAATTATTTTTCATTCATCCAACGTCAGTTATATTTTGTGTTAAGTTGTAAGCATTGCAGCCTCATTGGGCACCTACTGTCAACATGTACTTTTGGCCCTGTAGGGACTATTTAAGCACATTGATGTTGACTAATAAAAAGCCATGAAACACTCGATGTTCTCACCTCTTTCAGATCGTTGTGTCCTGCTATTTATGGCCACCTGGTGAGTTTGGTACACTTCTTCTTTTTTTTATAACAAGATTACAAACACTAAGAGCATTTTCATCACAATTTACAAAGGATACTTGTGATTAGTTGAATACACTGGTATTATTCACACCTGGTATTATACACACCTGGTATATACACACCATGTTCAGACCTCTTTTTCAGTTTGTCAAAAGAATAACAAAAAGTCAGACCAACATAGTGGATTCTTGTGTTTCCAGCTTGTAAAAGCCGCTCTTGCCTTGGTGTTGTTTGGAGGCCGACAGAAGCACATAGACAAGAACAGCGTCCCAGTTAGAGGAGACCCACACCTCCTGATGGTGGGAGACCCTGGACTGGGAAAGAGTCAGATGTTACAGGTAAGGCAGAAAACACACCTGCTCTTTTATTAAATGTGTTGAGATATTATAATTGGAATTCACCCCCTAATCTCTATTATTATCATTTATTTATTTTTTACATATTTTTTCATCATCATAATTTGTCTCCTTTTCTTTTTGCTCCTCCCTCTTTCATTTTTATTTTTTTATTTCTCCGACTCAGTAACATCTTACAGTTAAACAGAATACCTATACTCCACAGCGGCACGGCACTGCTCAATAAGTCTCTATAACGTTTTACAACCTTAACTTAATGAGTCTTACCTATTTTTCAAGCAAAGGATAAGGCTAAGCTAAGTTTGCTAGCTAGTATGATCTGTTTCTTTACGCCGTCAAAATATAGTATATAATAGCTACTTACAGCATTCAGGTGACTTTTCATGCGTGTTGTGCCCCTGTGGTAGGCCAGTTTCAAATTGCATATTTGGCACACAGCCTTTTTCTTGTCTTCACGTTATTTAAAGTGTTCCCACACAGCTGAAGTCTTCGGCATTTTGTCTTCCCTTCAACGGCCAAGGTGAACTGAAGTGTGACGTTCACTGACCGTTGTGAGGATAGGAATATCAGGTACCCAACAAAAAAAAAAAAATAATAATAATATTCAAATCCCAAAATGAATAATCGATTGCCTACCCGACGAACAAATATTTGAATAGCCGAATATTCGGGTCCAGACCTAGTTTCAATTCTTATTAATAAAAATACACCACTTATTCATAAAAACACTATAACAGACCCAGAAAGACAATACATCATTATCAATGGAACAATTAATAACATCAATATAACAATAACAAGTATCTATGGCCCGAACACAGATGACCCAACATTCTACCACAACTTCTTTACTTCATTACAGGATTTCTCAACATCAACTATAATCATAGGTGGAGACCTCAACATAGTTATCAACCCAACTGTAGCTAGCTCAACTAACTCACATCGCACCAAAAACTGGCATTCTACAGAAATAATTAAACAATACATGACAGATATTGGTCTTGGCAATAGTTGGAGGCTACAAAACCCTTCAACTAGAGAATACACATACTTCTCCTCAGTCCATAAATCATTTTCACGAATTGACTACTTTTTAACAAGCAGTTCTACGATGGCAGATATCTCTGACCCCACAATCCACCCAATCATCACATCTGATCATGCTCCCATCAGCCTTATACTGCACAACAAAACTGAACCAAAAACCAACTCAAGATGGAGATTCAACACATCCTTTCTTCAAGACAAAGAATTTGACTCACACCTTAGGAAACAATGGACATTATTCATGGAAACAAACAACACAGCAAATACTTCACCAACTCTCATCTGGGAAACAGCTAAATCAGTGTTAAGAGGAAAAATAATCTCATACTTGACATTTTAAAAAAAAGGAAGAAAACAGATTGGAATATAATCTGGAAGAAAAACTCAAACAACTGCATAATTTATATCTCAAACTCCACAGAACAAATACTGGAAGACATTAGAGAAACCAAAAATCAACTCAACAGCATTATTGATTAAAAAACACAATTCATACTACAAATACTAAGATATAACCACAACGAACACAATGACAAATCAGGCAAATATCTAGCAAACCAACTCAAACGCAACACGGAAACGCAACAACTTCTGGTAAGAAAATAACCACCACACTATCCCGACTCCTTGGCTACAACATTCCACTGTCCCCCTCTGTTTGCATTGTTGGCAATCTGGATGAACTTAACACAAACTCCAAAGAAATCCTAATACCCCTACTTGTAGCCGTAACTATCGCCAAGAAAACAATACTGCTCAACTGGAAAAGTAGGAAAAAGATCAGCACATCACAATGGTTAGACCTCCTTACACAACAGATATCAATGGAACAACAATCAGCCACGCACAAAAACCAACTCTGAGAATTCAACAAAATATACTCCACAATTCTCACCACCATTTTATGCCAGAGCGTTAATGCCACAGCAGAACCAGGCAGGTAAACGGGGAGGAGAAAAGAAATTAGAATAACTACAATTTTAATATAATTTACAAATAGTCTGTATTTGGTAATCATCATGTTTGCACCCATACAAAGGGAAAAAAAAACAAATAACACCAAAAATCGCCACCATGTGTACAACCTAATCCACCAGTTTTATTTTACATCATTTTGTTGCCATACTGTCCCCATGTTTTTCTTTGTCCTGTTTGCTCAATTATTTATTTTGTCCCTCTTTCTAATTCATTTATTTTAATTACTTAACTTTTTCCTTTTGTTTTGTTTGTTTGTTTTTTTGGCCTAAGTCTGCTTGCAAAACTGTACCGTACCACAGTTCCCCTCTTGTTTGTGTCTCCTTTTTTTGTGAGTGTGTGTATGCACGTTTTGGTGAATAAAAGTTAAGAGATGTGTTGAGATAACATTTTTTAGGAATGAATGCTATTACTAATCAAGATTGATTGATTGATTGAAGTTGTAAGGTCTTTTTTCCCCTTTGAAGTTGTAATATGTTTAGAAACGTAATACCTAAATGTTCATACGTTTCTGTGTGTAGGCCGTGTGTAATGTGGCTCCCAGAGGAATCTATGTGTGTGGCAACAGCACAAGCACCACAGGTACAGTACATTGTTAAAAAAAAGTCATGCTCATCCTTGTTGTCCCATAGCTGCAGTTTGCGGCTCAAACTCCCATCTTTTTCATTTATAATCAAGTTTGGATTTTAATATTTAATATTGTTTTTTCTAGGACTAACAGTGACTTTGTCCCGAGACGCTGGAACAGGAGATTATGCTCTCGAGGCTGGAGCCTTAGTGCTCGCTGACCAAGGTGAGGAAGAGAGTAGACACTTCAGTTTAAAAAGTGTCTGTGCCTCTTTAGTTTGTAAAGTTATGCATATTATTTGTTTTGGAGGTAGCATGGAGGTCCTTTTAACACTTATAATTGTTTGTCTTTGCCGAAACAGAATGTCAAACTATTCAATAATACACTAGAAATGTAATCTATGCCATTGCTGATCTACCCTTTTCTCAAAAGTTCTCTCACACACTGCAGCAGTGCCTCTAGGTTCCTCAGGCTTTGAAAAGACCCTAGGGTTTCTGATAAACTTCTCAACTCACAAAGGAATTGAAACAAACTTTAAAGTGAAACCTGAGAAATAAACGGCTTTGGAGATCCACGCCTTCGACACAGCATTGCTGTAATTCTCACTGCCTGTTGGAGAGTCTCAATTGTTCTTTAATCTTCCCACACGCTCACTCCTGATTGTACTTGTTTTTCTCTCTTGGCTTCTTCTAAGGTCTGTGCTGCATTGATGAGTTTGATAAGTTGGGCAACCAGCAGCAGGCTCTGCTTGAAGCCATGGAGCAGCAGTCTGTGAGCCTCGCTAAGGCTGGAATAGTTTCCTCTCTGCCTGCCAGAACATCAGTTGTAGCTGCTGCAAACCCCATCGGAGGACATTACAACAGAGGCAAGACTGTTTCTGAAAATCTGAAGTAAGTCAGCTCAACAAAGTAAATAAACAAAAGAGCTATTGTTTTTAAGCGGCTGTTGAATATACAAGCTATACAATTGAATTTGCACATGTGCAATCTTATCTGCAGGATGGGTTCAGCTCTTCTCTCTCGATTTGACGTTGTCTTCCTCCTCCTGGACATCCCAGATGAGTCACATGATCGCCGCTTGTCTGAGCACGTCATGGCAAACAGGGCAGGAAAAGGCCGAATGAGCAGCGCCATAGTTACCAGAATTAACAGTGAATTAGAGACTTCTGTCTTATTTGAGCACTCTGATATGCCGCTGTCTGAACGTTTGCAGGTAAAACATGAAGCATTCTCCAATGTCGCAGAACATATGTCAAGGATCATTTCCAATCATGCAATTTGTGGGGGTTTTTTGTCTGCCAAGATCCCTGCAGGTGAAAGTGTGGATCCCATTCCAGCATGTTTGCTGAGGAAGTATATTAGCTACGCTCGACAGTACGTCCATCCCACAGTGTGTCCTGAGGCTGCACAGGTACTACAGGACTTCTACCTGTCACTGAGATCTCAGGCTCACTCTGCTGATGCCACACCCATCACCACACGACAGCTCGAGTCGTTAGTAAGACTGACTGAGGTAGGTTTCTGTATGTTTGACAACTTATCTGCAATTCATGCAAACTCAGAAGTATTTATTGTTTAATAACGAACCATTTCCTTATTAAGAGAAGTGGCTTCCTCGCTCTCCTGTACTATCAATATTTGAGTGTGTGTATTTGCAGGCGAGAGCGAGGCTGGACCTCAGAGAGACTGCAACAAAGAGTGACGCTGAGGATGTGGTGGAGATCATGAAACACAGGTGCCACTACATAAGTCTTTCTGTTCAGCAAAGGGATGCCTTACAAATATATTTGTAGTGATGAATGTAAATTATTAACTCTCCTGTAGCCAGGTTAGCATCTTCAAATGGCTACATTTGTCCAATTCCAGAACTTTAAGATTTTCAGTTTAATATCACATGCAACAAAGAAAAAGGATGTATTCTTCTTATTTCACGAGCTGAAACTAGGTAAGGTAAAGGCCATGTGGTAGGGTAGGTAGTAAACGGCAATGTTGCTCGCATGAACAGAGCCTTCGTCTGTTGAAGGTAGCAACGCTGTTTTTGTTGCGGATGAGGGGTTTCTTCACTGAGCGCTTATCCTTTCAATAGGGCACAAGTACTTTTAGTTTATTTCAAATAAAAAAACATTCTAAAAAATGCTGTTTGCTTGAAGTCAATAAGCACAATACAAGCCAAGTGGATTTCTAGAATAAGATTCTTCCACTTTCACAAAGTTACATCCATTTGGTATTTAATTTTTTTATCTCAATAATATTTTGAGAGGGGGATTTTAGATTCACAGCAAGTACACAGGAGTTTCTCTCACCAGTGGAAGCTATTTTTGTCTGTTCACTTTAATATCAGCCTTCAGAAGATGAAGGGTCTTGATAGTCATTTGCATGATATACAGAATCAAAAGAATTCTAGTTCACACAGCCATATGCTCCTAGAAACCTTATGACTAAAGACATCCTGTCGAAAAATCTATTAAACGTCATTCTGCCCTGATGTTGAGATATTATACACTCACTCTGCCTGTGTGTTTGTGTGTGTGTGATTTTGATTTGCAGTCTGGTTGATACATACTCAGATGGTCTCGGCAATCTGGACTTCGAACGTTCTCAGCTCGGGTCGGGAATGAGTCAGCGCAGCGCTGGAAAACGATTGGTCAACGCTCTGCATTTACATGCACAGAAAACCAATCAGAAGCAGTTCGACCTTCAGACGCTTCGATCAGTGGCCAACAGACTGAACATCAAGGTGAAAGCATACAGATACACTGAAATGAACATTACAAGTAGAACAGACTAATATACATAAAATTCCTTGAACAAGCAATCCCATTATTTCAGGACATGAGTTTATTTTAAACGATGCTGTCACACAAAGTGTTCACATGCTTAATAATATATTCATTCCTTGGTTGACTCCTTAAAGGTGATGGATTTTGAAGGTCTGGTGAGTTCCCTGAATGAACAGGGTTTCCTGCTGAAGAAAGGAGCCAAGCTTTACCAACTGCAGACCGTTTGATTACTGATTACTGCAACAGACTCAAAGAACAGACTCAAAATCCCCCAGACTGCTGAGTGACTTTATGAACTGTCTGTGACAACCATAACCACTGACACAGACTGGACAGATGGGTTCATTGAGAGCAAACACAGTTTACTGAAGGAGAAGTTCCTGCATAAAAGACTCCAGTACAAACTCACACACAATTTTTATTTAAAAAAGTGTCATCTGGCTCAGTGATAACACACAGAACTTCAGCATGAACCTGATACATCCCTACTGTCCAGGGTTACATGTATGCTTTTGTGTTCTATAAAATATATTAAAATTATATATTTTTTTGATGTTTTAAAATGTCACTGTTATTTTTCTGTAAATAAAATTGAATATTTTTGCTTGTGTGTTAAAGAATGTTGTTTAGCAGCTTAGTAAAGATCTAGAAAGAAGTCATTGGAAAATGTGCTTCCAGTGATACCATGCTCCTAAATTAAATGCTGACGAAATAACATTTATCCACTGACATCGTCTAAGTGTAAAACAATTATATGACAAGTTTCGATCTCATGAAATACCAATTCTCCTTCTAAACTTTTTAAAAATATTTTGTGGGAAAAATAAAAATTTCAGCAATGGTGTTACAATCCTCACAGATGGAGCATCTTTATATTAATGCATTAAATATTCAGTAACTTCACCCAGGAGAGGTGTAGTGTCGTCCAAATTATTTTACACACGTGATCTCATGTTGTTTATACTACATTTTTTAGTTTGGAAAATAATACTTTTACATAATTTTGAGGATTTTTTTTATATAAATCCTTTTGAATATAATCCCTTTTGTAAACTGTGGGGTTAAAAAAAATCCCATCATGAATAAATGTCCTCCTGCTGAATAAGCTACAACACATGGCTTAGGAAAATGTGCTTTCATGTAATTTTAGTGATTTTTTTATAATTAAATTTGGTAATAAAATAAGCTATAACTGTACTATAACATGTAGTAGTAGTATCATCAAACTCACAGCACACAAATGAACTACTCTTGATTACACTACAACACTTGGTTTGATAAAATATGCTTTAGGTATTACAGTTTGCTTACAAACAAATTTCAGGTTTTCTTGATATGTATAATTATCAATCAATTCACTATTATAGGCTGTAGGGTCACAAAAACATATATTTATAGCTGATTTTGCTCTCTTTGGAACAGGAACAGTTGATGGAGTCCGGAAATATTTGGCGCTTCCAGTGCGGGGCTTGTTCCCATCTCTCTTTGCCCAACCTCCCTGGGATTGTGTGATGTGTTTGGAGATCGCTTGTTTGAGGAGTAGCTTTTCAGAGAGGTTATGACACATGATGTGTTCTCTGTACCTTCCCAAGAGTGCCATTCATTTTTCTGACGAATGTCCCTGGTGTCAGCCGTCTCTGCTTTTTTAGTAATTGAGTGCTTGATGATACCAAACCGTCTCTCCACATGGCAGTTTGTGTCCCTTGTTTTACTTGGGCCAAAGTTTTCATCCTTGTCTGATGCATACCTTTTCAAATCTCCCAACAACTGACCACTCCAAAGTGGAAAAATTCCCAGGTAGCTTTCAAAAAGGTTGTCAACAATGCCAGGGCAGTAATATGGATTCCCAGTAAATTGAGTTTGGACATCAACTTTTCCAAGGTCACTTTGTACCTCCTCCAGATCCTCCTTAAATTTACATGTGAAAGGAGATATGGCAGTAATTGTGTAGGCTTATCTTTTTTTCTTCATCATCTTCCTCATGAGCTAGTTGGCTGACCTCCAACTTTTCTGTCTCCTCGATGTCAGGTGTTTTTCCTTTCTTAATTAATACCTGCACGACTTTCAGGTTAAGAAGGACGGTTTTGCTATTGTGTTTTCCACATAAAACACTGCACAGTGACCGGAAGATGTTGAGGGCGTCAGTCAGTGAAGTTGTGTTTTGCAACCTGGCGAATGCAAAGGTTGCAAAAGCTCTGAAACCTTTGTCATCTGTTTTTCATCCTGTGGAATGAGCAACAGCTTTCAACACATGTGCAACACGGTAAATGTATTCATGTCCTTCGATGTCTGTCATCTGTCCTGAACAAATAGTGAAAGCCCTGTCCAGGTAGCTGAAAATGCTCTCCTTGTTGAAGGACAGAAGAACACTATTTATTAGTGCCCAGCTGTAGGCGGTTTCAACCTGATGAACTTTGTGTATTGTGTCAGGTTTCAGATAAACTGAGGTACTTTTGTGAGGTACATTTCCATGAACATATCATCGTTTATTATTTTACCTTTGCTGAATTCTGACCTAATCACTTTCAAAACATTTTTATTCAGACTTCGGGTTATGTTTCCAGAAATAAGTTCAGCATCAGATGTTTTTTTAAGTTTGGTAAAGAAAAGCTGACTCACTCCCTTGCACACTCACTCCCTCTTCTTGTATATGCTGAAGGTCCAAATTGCCTCTCACTTTTTTTGTGTTTTATTTCTGCCTTTTGTTGCACAGATATTTTAATTCGGTTGTTTCCTTTTGGCATTCTTTTCATTTAAAAAAAGTATTTAGCACTGCAGGACGGAAAAGCACAAACTGCACTAACATTTAAATATGGACCTTTGATTTTTTTGGCTGTGAGTTGTTTTGATGTGCTGACTCCTGAAAGCAAGAGTACAGCAGGGATTTTCTTGTTACAGAAGCTGTTGTATAAAACATTGGTCCAAGGTCTTCTCAGTTTCATTGAACCTTGAAGCGTAATAATTTTCTGCCGTTTCTCTAGTTTTATTGTAATTGTGACTTGTTTGACACTGCTGACAGCTTTCTCCATTGCTCTATGTTTTGTTGAAGTTATGCTTCAGTGTGTGCAGACATTTTATTTAGTTTGTTGTCTTCTTCAGTGTTTTGCATGTCTTCATCTGTGACATCGTCTTCTGCTTGATTATTTTCCTGGTCTGACTTTATTGTGCTGTGAGTTTGATGACACTACACTTATTTACTTAATTATTACCAAATTGAATTATAAAAAAATCACTAAAATTACATTTCTGCACATTTGTATCAAACAAAGTGTTGTAGTATAACCAAGAGGAGTTCATGTATGTGTTCTGTGAGTTTGATGACACTACAACATGTTATAGTAGAATTATTACTCAATTTATTACTTATTTAAATTATGAAAAATCACTAAAATTACAGTTTTGCACATTTTATCAAACTAAGTGTTGTGGTATAATCAAGAGGAGTTCATTTATGTGTGCTGTGAGTTTGATGATACATGTTATAGTACAGTTATTACTTATTTAATTACCAAATGTAATGATAAAAAATAACTAAAATTACTTTTCTGCACATTTTTATCAAACTAAGTGTATAATCAAGAGGAATTCATTCATGTGTGCTGTGAGTTTGATGACACTACAACATGTTATGGTACCGTCTTTACTTATTTTATTACCAAATGGGATGTTATTTAACCCCACAATTTACAAAATGGTTTTCGTTGAAAAGCATTTACGCAAAAAAAAAGTATTATTTTCCAAACTATGAAATGTAGGAACAACGTGAGATCACATGTGTAAAATGATTTTGATGACACTACACCTCTCCTGGGTGAAGTTATTTAATATTTTGAAGCATCTTTTTTCGGTGTTGCGACTTGCAGACGGTCCCTCAGCATTCGAGCCACAGCCGGATGAGGACGACTCATTTAGAGGAACATGCAGTTGTAGCTCACAGTCTACCTTGCTGTTATTGCAAAGCGGTGTCGGTTTTGTAAAAGCGATGTTCCGCTGATTAGTTATTGATCCGGGAAAGCCGAATCTGTGACTATCTTTCTAACTTTACCTAAGTTTCAAAAAGTCTATATCATCTGTATGCACTTTATATTTAATTAATTTACATTAAACATTAAATTAAGTAGGCCTAATCATGACTCTTGTTGTTTTTTTAGTATTCAATAAAAACAAGCATGATAATGATGTAAATCCCTCTTACTAGACCTTTGTAAATCAGTGTAGGCCTATCCTACTTCTTTGCTTCATCGCAACTCATCAAAATATATATATATAAATTTAAAAAAATAACACCAACAAGAATATACATTTTTAGACACTTCCAATCCATCATCATCATCCCTTTACCTCTTCTAAAGATTATTTCCTTTATAATATCGGGGGGATTGGAAATAACAAATAATAATAATATAATATAATATATAATAATAATAATAATAAAATATATAATAATAATAATAATACCGGTAATAATACTGTTTTTTAACAGTAAACTTTAAAAAAATTGGTTTCGTTGATTACGGTTTTGTATCAAAACTATTTAAGACACAACGATTCCTTGACTTTGTGAACTGAACCACAAGTTGTTTCAAAAACGAAACTCCTGTCAACGGAATGTCATGGGGGATTTTACGACATCATTTACGGTAGCACTTTACGGCAACATGGCAGCCTGCTTGCTGAGCTGAGTTTCGGTCGGCTCTGGTCGTCGATATCTAAAACTTCATCATGAAAACGTGGAGGGACAGCTCGAGGCCAGCAGGTCGGTAACAGAGGGCTCTTGAACATGATGATGTGTTTACCGAGGATGTCCGCGTCGTTGTGCCGCAACGTGTCAGGTCGCGGCGTGACGTCCGCGCGGGGTGCGGGTGTTTGCTGGCTCGAGCCTGCGTCATGGCGGCACAGACACACACCTGTCACGGAGTGCGCAAAGGTGAAACAGTCCCCGGCTAGTGGATTGTGGCTTCTCAGACTCAAAGGGACGGACAGCAGGTTCGCGTGCTGGAGTGGGATCCTACAGCAGGTGAAAGTGACACCGTGGCAAGCACAAGGGACAGGGGGTCATGAGAGGTCAGAGGTCAGCGTCCGGTCCCTCCTCTCACCTAGAGCTCGATGGCTGTGTAGCAGAAAGAGCGAGGAGACTCCGGAAACTTCACCACCGGCGGCGGCGGCGGACCGAAATGAAGCCAACCCGGTACCTGGTCACGGATTGTTCAAGTTTAAAGAACTGGTAATAAGTCTTCATCTGCATCATGTTAAAACTGTCTCTGAGCTTTTACTTTATTTTATAGTTTTGAGCAGAGCTGGAGTTGTTAAAGAGATTATGCAAACAAAAAAAGTAGAAACAAATATTAATTTGTTCTATTTTTACAGAAGTTTTTGGAAATGGACATTTTAAATCTGATGCTACACAAAAACTAACAATGTATTAAAGTCAACATTTTGGATAATCTTTCACATATCAAAGACTGATTTAAAAAAAATAAAAAAAATAAAATCCCCCAGCCACCAAATATTTGTTATCTGGAAAATAAATAATTTTTCTGGGTTTTTTTTTTCATAAATAACAACAATAACAATTCAACATTTCAATAACAACAGTGACATCAAGTAATCAAACTGGCATTTAAAGGGTTACATTCCTTAAAATGATTGAATGTCCAAACAGGGGACTACATTTTAAATCTGATGCTACACAAAAACTAACAATGCATTAAAGTCAATATTTTGGATAATCTTTGACATACCAAAGACTGATTTAAATTAATAATAAAAAAAAAATTTATATATATTTGTTATATGGAAAATAAATAATTTTTCTGTTGTTTTTTTTTTCTCATAAATAACAACAGTGACATCAAGTAATCAAACTGGCATTTAAAGGGTTACATTCCTTAAAATGATTGTATGTTTGATAGTTTTGAGCAGGGCTGAAGTTGTTTAAGAGATGTATGCAGAAAAAAGTAGATAAAAATATCAATCTGTTCTTTTTTTATAGCAGTTTTTTTTGGAAGTGTACATTTTTGTCTTGACTTAAGAGGGTAGTAAAAATGTTTCAGTGTTTTATTGATCTATTAAAAAAAAAAAAAAATGTGCATTCCAAAATGTGTCGAGAGAGACTTTCTTACAAAAATGTGTGCCATATGCACTAACAAGGCCAAAATGATGGCCAGATAAAGAGGAAACCTTTGCTCAAATGGACAAAAATGTCCATAGTGATGCATGAGGGTTAATGGAGAGCTAGATAGATGGACAAACTCAATATTAGTCCATTTAAAATGACATTACAATTCAATACAAAATAGATTTTTAAAACATACAATTTTCACTTTAACATGGATATTATTAACAGAGCAGACACATTTAGTTCTTTGCTGTAACGTTATCAATCAATTTTTATTTGTATAGCGTCAACTCATAACAAGTGTTATCTCGAGACACTTTACAAAAAGCAGGTGAAATACCTTACTCTTTGTCTGTTAACATTAAAAAAGAGCAGGTAAAAAGACCTTACTCATTGATATGTTACAAAAAGCAGGTGAAAGACCTTACTTAATCCATCATGAGCACTTTTAGCAAAGCAGCAAAAGTTACATTGGTAAGAAAAAACTGCCTCATTAAAAGGCAGAAATCTTCAGCTGTTGTTTACTGTACAGTAAACATCTAAAAACCTACATTTAAAACTTAAAATGCATAAATATTGTTATTATTATTGGCCTCAAATATCCAGCAACAATAGCAGGCTTTAAAAAATAATTACAGGCTACTATTTTATTCTTATTTTTCCATAATGGTTCTCAGATTTACAATTTTATGACGCTCCAATCTACATTATTTGCAGAGGTGAGGGGAAATGCACTGTGTGTTGTCATATTCAGAAACATATCAATAGAAAAACCACTGTTGAAAAACATAATAACACAGTTATTTTTGGGACCAGGATGTCCCAGCATTATTTCAATATATAGGGCTGATTTTTTTGGCTTTGTAGTAATGCTTATATCTGACCTTTTTGTTTGCAGTATGAGAACCCATGGACAATCCCCAACTTTCTGTGTGTGTGTCGGATTGTGCTGGCTCCATTCTTGGGTCACCTGATCATCGAGCAGCACTTTCACCTGAGCCTTGCTCTCTTTATACTGGCTGGAGCGACAGACCTGGTAATGCACACTTTTACTGAGACACTTTTTCATGTAGAGCTGCTGACCTGCACACAGACTGAAACACTGTAATGTTGAGTTTTGTCCAGTTTCATCAGTTGAAAAATGCACATTTCATAAAGAGTGAATACGTTTTGGCTAACAATTTGGGAAATTTGTTTGCGAACAAATGAACTTGGAAAACAATAATCATTTTATAATTATTTCATCTCCCATTAGCACTAAATGAAAATGTTGTGTATATTTTAATACTGGACAAAACTCCATCTACACAGAACAACAAAAGGACAGTTATGGTTGCACTAAAAGGCCTTTATCTGTCCCCTTTGAAACTGAAACTGAGTTACCTCTGTATGGATGGACCAGACAACGTTTTGTTTTTCAACACAAGCTCAAATTTCTGTTCGGAAATAAAAGAATTTAAAAGCCATTTTTTTTAAATATGTACTTTAAAATATGCCTGTTCACACATGTCCCTCACAGTGAGAGACTATCCCTGTCGGATGGGAGGGGAGGGGGTCTCAGATGAAGCAACGTCACTTTAACGAGAATTTTAGCCTTTATATCAATGCTGCATGCAGTTCGGCACATTCACAATATCAACAAAAGAGCTGAGAAGAACATACTGGCGAACAAGAAACATGATGAACATGAGATCATATTGATTGCATGCATACAGTCCATTGTCCTGTGCGTGTCACAGGAGATCAACCTCATCTTCCCCTCCCCACTCTGTCCCTGTAAATATTCCTGCTGTGTTCTTACATCAGCTCACCCCGAACTTTAAGCCAAAAAAGAAATGGGGCTTGCAGGAAAAGTTCATCTGTTTGCTTGCACACATGCAGCTAACCCTGAACAATTTAGAAAGTTTTCAGGAGTTTTATGAACGTGTATAAGCACCAAATGTTGTTTTTCAACCAGCCATATTGAAAGACAAAAACTTTTAGGGAGATGTTTTTTTTTCTTCGGTTGACCTTTTTGACAATATTTACTAATCGTCTTCCTCCCTTTGTAACTTCTGTCTCTCCTGCTCAGTTGGATGGTTACATCGCCAGAACGTGGCCCACTCAAAAGTCTGCATTGGGCAGCGCTCTCGATCCATTGGCTGATAAGATTCTCATCAGTTTTTTGTATCTGAGCCTCACCTATGCTGAGCTGATCCCAGGTACTGGACTTCTTGGTTCTTCTGTGGTTTATGCTTCCTTCTTAACAATGAAAGAGCCAATAAATATCTTAATTTGTATTACCCGTCTTTGTATTTCAATGTTATTGTGTTTGATGTGACATTTCTAGTAACGAGATCACAAAGTTGTTAGTGACAAGATCATTTATTGTTCTGTTTCAGCTTTACTGACTGGTCTGGTGATATCCAGAGACATCGGTTTGATAGCTGCTGTGTTCTGGGTCAGGTACAAGACTGTACCTCTACCGGTGAGACTAAAGAAGAAAACTATTTGAATGTAATCTGCTTTACATTGCCTTCAATTAGCTTACTTTAAAATCCCTTCCCTCTCTTGTTTTCCACCAGGTGACCCTCAGTAAGTTTTTTAACCCCTGCTACACCACTGCACAGCTTAAGCCCACACTCTTCAGCAAGGTGAGACACATAAACCTCCCACCCACTCTTCATTTCCCTGTACTACTTTTTCTACATCGCTGCTAGCACACGCTAACGTCACCATTACTCCACAGTGGCAAGTGCTGTGGGGGTTTGTAAGGCAGTCATTTATTAAAAAGGTGTTCAGTTTAATTCCGACACAGACACGGAATTGAACAAGAGATGTGATTTCATTCTTTGTTGAGAGACTGATAGCCATAGCTTATGTCTCATTATTAAAAAATTAAATCATGACGGGTAATGACACATTATTACAGCCTCTGTCAAAGTGACGGACAAGTGGACAACCAATAGGTCTAAATCAGCATCTCATCATGACAGCAGTTAATATATCAAATGTTCTGACAATGAAGGAGATCCTGTATAAGTTACAATATAAATAACTAAAAAGCTAAATTTATCCTTTTGTACGGAGTCTGGGCATGCTTGCGATGCTTAACTCTGTCACATGAATGTCTAAATATGCTGTACAAAACCAAGCACATTAAAATGCACTGCCAAAATACTCCTGATACAGATGCTGCAACATAATTTGCCTGCGTTTTAAACATTCTTGAAGAAAAAGGTGGCTGGCATGAGCAGGTTTTTCATCATCTGCGAGAAACTGTCTCTCTGTTCTTTGTGTTGTTACAGGCATAACGTCTTTCCCCAAAAATAACGATCCAAACTTCAGTTATCTGAGAATCATCTAACAAGTTGTTCTGCCCTTTTTTTTTTTTTTACATAAAGTATTAATCTGTCTTTGTTAATGTTGTTGTCAGGTGAACACAGCCATCCAGCTCTTCCTGGTTGCAGCCTCTCTGGCTGCTCCAGTCTTCCAGTACACCGACAGTGTGCCTCTGCAATGCTTATGGTAAACTGCTTACATTATCTATATTACATGTAAATACACACAGCTCTTATCCATTTGACTATATTCATTATGTCCTTCCTTTTTAGTGTTGTGAAGGGAAGTGTTGATCGTGCAAATAGGTTATCAAATGAACACTATTCATCAGTATCTATCAAATAAATGCTTTATTTTTCCCCCTGCAATGATCGAGTCAAGTGCATTGACTCATTTTAATCAACACAACTGAGCGTGTTAGAGTAGACCGACTCATGACACACATGTCAGTCTGTCACATGAACAGGTTGTGCAAACATGTGTTTTTGCGTTATATTGCAGGTATGTTACAGCGGTGACCACGGCAGCTTCAGGCTACAGTTATTGGCACTACGGCCGTAAGACTGTGCGGGTGCTGAACACCAGATCCCCATGAAAACCACACCAGCAGCAGAACAAAAGAAGTGAACAGCCGCGGCAAAGACACTGATCAGCCATGGGAAAAGTGAGACAGAAAGATGGATGAATAAGCCAAGTAGCCGTGACAACCGTTTTATGAATCGTCATAGGAATGACACATGGAAAGTCACCGTGGCCACAGATGGTTTTCTGCAACACTACAGAAACAGCGGCTCTGTCCTGAACTGGATGTGGACTAGACGTGCATATTGACACAAATATAAACCCCATCTACATACACACATGATCTTCAGTTTTGTAAACCAATGATTTATGATTAAAAGAGAAAATGGACCTCGTCTGTCTCTGTCCGTATGAATGTTTATACAGTCTTTATATGGATGCAGGGCTGGCTTTTCTTCTGACAAAAAGACACAATTTTAATCTTGTGAAACACAAATCTGACCGTTAATCCATTTGAAACCAGAAACAAGGATTATAAAAATGTGAATGAAAATACAATGTTAAGCTACCAGTGTTGCATCAGAGCAGCACATAGGACAGAAGTCCTCAAAAATGTTATCTCAGTGTTAGATGTGCAAATTCTGGCCCCTTATAAATAGGCTGAAAATGTATTTTCTATGAGTTTACAATTTATAGATGGCGAATCAATGTCATAATGAAAATAATTTGAGTCATTGTTTTAGGCCCCTTTACTGTGAGACTCTGCTGCCACTATAACATCAGTGTAAAACAAAAAAAAAGACATCGTCAACGATTGGAGGACCTCACCTTAGTTCAGGGAAGAAAAATAAAAAAACAGATGTAATCAAAGCAAAAGTTATTGCAGTGTTTATTTAGTGAGAAGATTTTATTTTTAACTTTGTTTTGTTTATATATCCGTAACAACGCAGGATTACCACAATTCCCCAGTAACACCCTGACTGGGAAAAGCTGAACTGTGCACTTTAGATGCTCTTATATACAAAGAGAAAAGTTCAAATACACATTTAATCTCAACTCCTTTTGTTACACTGACAGTCAAACTTTATTAATATCGCATGTAAATACAAACCAGACAGTCAAAATACAAACGTAAGAAGAGTAAATGCTTAATTGAGTCAGCATTATGTGTCTTGATTAACATCTGTCTGAATCCTGTACTCAATTCCCTGCTCATTCTTAGTAATAAAAGATCCACAAACTCTATTTTAAGTTCCTCCTTATTTAGGTTATTGAATATCAATAACCTAAATAAGCCAAAAGGTTGTTTGGAGACATCAGCTACCATTGGACCATCTGTTCTGAGCCACCTCAGTGGTTGTATTGAACAACACAGATTATTTTTCACAAGTAAAAAAGAACTAGTTACATGAAGGCACCGTGGTTGGGTAACCTTTTCGACTCCTCCACTTATTTCGCAGCAGTTCTCTACACCACTTGGGTAATGCTGTTTCATTACCCAGCAAGTGCCGATGACTGCAGGGCTTCGGCGAGGTTGTTTTCGTGGCCTTGTGTGGGATGTCTGCTCATTATCTCCTCGCTGAATAATTTAGAGCGTCTCATTCTAAAAAGAGTTATCCATCAGTGGGATCAAATTGATACCTATGCTCGTGACTGTTGAAACATTTTCTAGGTAATCTTTTAGGAGTTGAGGAACTTAAGTCCATATTTGAAAACACAGATTGGAAGTGTATAATTAGAAGGCTTTGGATGATGCCCCTCAGGAATTTTATGCAGTAATTAGTTGTGCCTCTGATAAAAGAAATCAAACCACTTTTTTTTAGAAGTTCTCAGTACTGAGCTTGTACTCTTGCCAGCTACATAATGATTGACAAATATTGACAGCTTTTATTCAAGTTTTTCAGTCTCAAATTCATTTATATTGGAAACTAAACCAAATGTTTTGACGTATGAACTGAAGCTTTCCATTTCCATCTATATTAAAAGGGAAATAATCTTCAGAAAAGGCAAAGGGGTAAATAATGGATTTGAAGATTCTAAAAATGTAAATTCCGGTTGGTGTTTTTTGTTTTGGCTTTGGAAAATTTCAAACAATCAGAGAATCGAAAAAAGACCAAGTACTTTGAGTTTTCTGTTGTATCTTTCATCACTAGAAGTACACTGATTGACTCAAGTCACAGAAAGGAAAATAGCTTTCACTTGTTTCTTGAAATTTAACTCATCTGAATGAGATCTTTTACAACTTTCCAATGATAGAAACAAGAACTCACAAACCAAAATGTGCAAGACTTGGCCCGTGACTAAAGGTGTTTGTGAATTTTTTCCCTCACTTTGTAAAGTCATCTGTCATTCTTTAGACATTATATTAATTTTATTCAGACATAAAATTTGTCGATACCGATAGTCACGTGGTTGGCTTATATTGAGTGATTTTATCGGCTGTGCAGTGCCCTCATTTGAAGAAATAATGCCTCCGCTCATCTTTTTAGTAGATCGAATGTAAGATGGCAGGATAACTATTGTATCTGCTGGTTCCAAAAAAAACTATTTTTCAATTCCCTATGAACATGCCAAAGCCTTTCTAGCAATGCCCAGTATCCTAAAGGACAACATAACGTATCACTGTCAGTCATGCATAACATTAACACAAAAAGAGAAATAGCAGTGAAAGTAAAGGGAAGCTATGTGGTTTGATATAATAAAGGGAAAATCAAGGCAGCACTTTCTTCAAAATATCAATCACATGAAGTTCAACTGTGGCTTGTCAAATTTTGTTATTATCCTCAAAATGGTTTTATAGGAAGTAATCAAACACTGACATAGACAGCTGCCATTTTCAAACATTTGTATTGGAGTTGTTATGACTTGCTGGCATATGATCACCACTCTTCCCTCAAACTGTTAAAAGTCTTCTCCTTAACATTGCATATTCAACGTGCAGACAGAGCTTTATGTGAGCCACTGTAAGGCCCTTCTCAGCCACCAGATGGAAGAACCAGATAGATAGTCTTAGGATGTTTTATATCAGTAATAATACTGGTCTTGCTCACCTTCATCACACAAGAGAAATGCAGAGAAAAAAAAACTCCACAGCATGCTAAAAAAAATAATCAATCATGTCTTGGGATTAAATCTAGTCTCATTATGTTAATTAGCACATAATAGCAAACATAAAGTTTATTATCACATTCAATGGCATATAACATCAACAAGAAAATGAGCATCTTACTTCAAAATAATCCAGTGTGTGAAGTTTTTAGTTAATGTTGGGACATGCCATGAAAGAAAATATAGTTTCTTTCTAAGTAAACAGAACACATGTGTACGCTTTTTTTTTTTTTTCTGTTCATATTTTCATGAAAATGAGCAAGACTGCAAAATGTCAGCTACTGGCAGTATCAGAGCATCAGTCGAGCTGTCAATCAATATTGCATAATGTGCAATTTGTTAAGAGGAGCTGCAGGCAAACGGGCTTCCTTTACCACTAAAAGGCTGTAAAAGGTAATTGGGATGAGCTGAATGTGTTAGATTTCATATCATTCGTTCTCAGCATTGAAAACTGTTTGGCAGATAGTAATGAATGCTTCCATTGTAAATGCCTCTTTTGTATTCCTGCGCTTCTTTTGCTTTTTCATTGTCTTTCAGATAGAAATGCTTCTGCAGTGATAATGTGTAACATAACTGTACCCCCATTTTTAACAACACACACTTTGAAAAAAGGTTACTAAGTTCCAGAGACCATTGCTGTTTTCAGAACATGAGGCTACCTTTAATAGCAGCAGCAAGAAGCAGGAGAAGCAAAACAGAGATGATTTAGCGATAGAAGCGAGAGCAGCCAAATGTACCTTCACACTTCACAGCCTGGCTTTCCAGAACCCACAGACACGCTGAATCACACTAACAAGGACAAACTTCGGATCTGTATGCCTTGGTCAGCGCAGCCCTCCGGCTTACTGTTCACTGTTGCTGTCAGTCCTGCATCGAGTTATTCTTACTCCTCCAGAGCAGAAGAAAGCTCGGCTCTACTCCTGAACATTTCAGCATACACTCTTTGTTGCATAGCATAATTTGTAACACATAAGGTAATACGATTAATTGTAAAAAAAAATGGAAAAACATGCATTTATTATTTCAATTTTTTATTCAGCAAAATAAAAATCTGTTTCTGACATTACCTAACCCCGCAAGAGATGTCTGCCTTTAATTTAAAAAAGGCCAACATTATGTAGGAGCTGCATCCTTTTTTATCTGATCGTGTTTTTTTGTTACTAGTCAAATTTAAAACCTCTCTTGGCACCTTCAATACATTTAAGGTGTGATTGATACGACCCACAGCCCACCCTCTACCTCCAGTATTCATCACAGACAACACCAAAGTGTTACCAAGCTTCATTCTGATGTGATTGGCCCTTCTCGTCTTCCACACCACACATATATAGCTTGACAATGGAGGATTCTTTAGACTTTAGGTCTCATAAAAAAAAAAATGTCTTAGTTTAAGACTGAAGAAGCAGGCGCAGGGACTTGTACATTCAAAAGAAAGCTGCTCATTGGTGCATGACGTTAAAAAAAGGTTGACTTTGAGATATTAACTTGCTCGCATTCCCCGTTTAGCTTACACATTGTGGGGCCCGAAGAGCAAGCATATAGCACAAATTCTTTAACATCTCTACTCCTATTCTCGCTTCTTTTGTCTATTGTGCAGTGGAAACATTACTCTGACTTCAACAGTAAGCAAATTTGACATTTTTGGGACACAGAAAGGGAATGGGCGAAGAATTTCATTTGATCAGTGTGCATCACATATTGGACCGTTTTACTTACACGGTTTTGCCACTTTGTTTTAATTGTTTCAAAGCACTTCCAGGGGGCTTGGTAGGTATGCATTGTTACACTTCTGTCCTGATCGACAGGTTGATGTGGTATCGTCTCATCCTGTGCTTGAAACTTTTAATAACGCCATATTTCTCAAAGGATTAAATACATATAGAGCAGTTGCCGCCTGCACATATATAGAAGAATACACTTCTTTCAGATTTTTTTGGCCTCTATTGCTATGCTATGGAAATCACTGTGATTGTTCAGATACCATGATTTGTTTAGACTCCCTGCCTTTGCCCGTATCTGAGTTTTTGGTTTAATTTAATCAGGTCCAGAGTTTCCCATAACAGAACTGTATGCCTCCGGCCCATTGCAAGGGTCTTGCATTGGTTTTCAGCCATTGAGCTATAGGTTTTCTTTCTTCAGGTTCTACAGTGGTGAACCAACCTCTTTTCTAATCTTAAGATATGCAGAAGGGCTTCTTTTGGGAGAACACTGTAATTAAAAGGAGGCTTTGGAAAGGCGCTTATCAGAGCACCCAGGGAGGTGATGCTGCTGCCACAACATCCAGATGCA